TGTCTGCACGAGCACTTGAAAAATGCCTTAATGATACTAAGACTCACAAGCTTCTGTAGAAGACCTAGAGCTGTGGAAAGGTGTCTTACCTTCTACTAAAATTACACCAAGTGAGGACTACTGGCACAAATTCTTTTGTGCTCTGTGGGGAAATGCACATTTCAGGACTGTTAGATGACCTTATGGCATCCCAATACTACCTTGACTTTCTAGCGTTCATGTTCATTCACTAGAGCAGGGATACCTTCTCTTCTTGACAAGAAAAAGCCATGGTCACAGCTACCACACTTGGGTAATTTGCAAATACACCAGGGCATCTCATGAAGTCTACACACTGTGGGAAAAAGAAGCGTGCGTGCCTGTGTATTTGGAGACAGGGAGCAAAGCGCTGCTCTGCCTGATCCTTTGCCTGGTTCACTAACCAGAGATGGGGGTACCACCACAGTGTCACTAAGAAGCAGGGTGCAGCAAATCAGGCCACGGGGTAAACACACACTCTCCTTACAGTATTACCCCTGGTAGCTCTGTGGTAGGGCCAAACTTGATGAAATATCAGCAAAATGTCAGCGGTCCCTGAGAGACACTGGCCTTTGCCACAGAGCAGAGTGAAACAATGACATATTTCTAAAAACTCTGCGGAGAAATTCAATCGGACTGTCAGGGTTACAAGTAGGAACTGAGATCGCTCTAAACTTAAATTTACCTTTCTTGATGCCCCTGGGTTACACTCTCTCAAAATACACTAGACAGTTTCTCTTTCTGGTTCCCTTGCATTAGGTTCGAGGACATAGCAAGGGAAAAAACAACAGTACGGGAGTAGGTGCCAGAGATCTGGCTAGCTGGGTCTATGTATTTGTGGGGCAGACATTTTTAATTTCTCCATTTCTCCATGATTCAGAACAATAAAAAACAACACTGTTTCTCTCCATTGCAAAGTTTGCAACAGGTTCAGATACTGAAGTAACAAACAGCAGCACCAAGGGGTCTGGGAATGCATAAGCTTTGACTGTTTGACCCCAGCAGGAGGTGGGCTTTACTGGGTTTTCAACATCAGAGGCCTCCCTAAACAGCTTAGATGCCCTCATACAAACCTGTACAGAACTGAAAGTTTAGGAAAAGTCTGATTTACCCATGTGATTTGTTACGTTCTAATACAGCTATCAAAGTTCATGGCACTCTCACTTCTGCCTTCCCTGAAATTAATAAGCCCGACTTCCTTTTTACACATGTGGACCAATGCATTTTCCTCTCAAAGGATACGCAGAACACTAAAAGCAAAAAGAACACCAAACTAACCATTCTTCCAGGAACAGAAAGCTGTGGGAGAACAGCCATCTCTTACCACCACTCTCTCCTATGGGAAGAAAAACTTCGCTTTCCCCAGCTTTGCTCTGGAGAGCAGCTCTGCAGGTCCTGCTCCTGTACGCCATCCACAGAGACAGACCTGCAAGCCTGCGTGCAGCTCCACACGCACCCACGGGATTCACAAGTCTGTACAAGACTGATTGCAGGATGGGTCTCAAATCTGAACACAGAAGGGTCTGCCGGCATCGCTGATTTTCCCTCCTGCTCTCAACAGAAGACTAAGCTAGCACTCAACTTACCTAAGGAGGTGAGGAGAGAAGTAAAAGAACAATAGATTTCGAGCCAAAACCCTTTTTCTGTAAAAGGACTGACATCAGTATTGCTTTATCATGTTCCAGAATTGCCTGATGTTAGCTGGTATCAACTGAGTCACAGCAG